TTCTATCCAAAGATCTTTAGCGACCTGTGTTTCGTATCTTAATTTAAAAAACTCAAGTAACAAATGTAAAATAAAAACTTGTCTTATAATTGTAACATCAAGAGAAAAATCTCTAAAAAAAGGCCTCTGGCTTGTAAAATCTGCATCTAACGGTTCGGAACAGAAGTATGGTCTGTCACACAGACGTCATTATGTAACAGCCTTCTTAGCTGTCTAATTCAGTAACCTTGTGAGTTTAAACCCAGCATTTGCTAACTCAAATCTTCGCTTTTTTGATAAACTAATACGCGTTACATGGGGAAGGAAACCCCGGGAACTTCTATCGGTTAGCCCGACGTTAAAGGGATTCAAACCCGTGCAACAACTGGGGCGTTGTAGCTTCCATGTACCAATAGCAAGATTCGAACCTGGGGCTACTCATTGGGGGAAGAGCTCCTTCGATTACTTTACCTGTAGTTATCCTTCGATTACTTACCCTCCTTCGATTAACTATAGATCTTTAAGAGATCTTAGAAATCGAGAGCTCCTTCGATTACTTTACCCTGTTAATAACGATAGATCTTGAAACACATTTTATCTCTTTATTCGTAGATTACTCATTATTTTTTAAATGTCTCCCACATAAGATTGATGCTTACAGAAAACACAAGAAAAATGATTTCATTTATGAAAAGGTAGAATCGAGTTAACACGTCTTATATATACTAGTGAATTGGAATTACAGTACTCCCCCACCAGATCTGTGGTGGAATTCGATGAACCACTAGTGGATTCATTGCCGTTTTGTATTAAGATCACCGTACTTTCGCCATCAGCTGTCATAAGTTCACGGCCGTGTTCGCTCCCGTGTTACCATTAGCGGTCGAGTGTATGCAGTGAGTATTCGAGACTGATGTCGCAGTAGCAAGTCAACTGTTCAAAGTGGACATTACATTGAAGTTCACATCATGTCCGAAGGTTATCCATGTGAGAGATAGTAGTTATTGACCTTCATCTATGAATCCTTCCTAGAGTAGAGTTAACATGTCTTATATACTAGTGAATCGGAATTGTATTTTTGTTGTGGTAGACACAGGGTTTTGTTTTGTTCTTATAAATCAATCTCCAGTGAGTCGACATGATTTACAAGAGGAGATATTTCAGGAATTTTTTTAATAATCTGACTTTACCTTGTCTAGTTAATTCCTTCCATACATCGAATGGAGGCAAAGTGTTGGCAGAAGGAGACTTTTTAAGCACCCTGTACATGTTCGAAATAACAATAAAATGTTCAGAAGATCCATTCGGATATAAAACCTCCAATTTTCTAATTGTTGCCACTCTTGTTGCAATGGCGTCAAAACTGAAAGAGCACAATAACACTGTACCACTACAAAAATACAATTCCAGTTTTCTGCAATATAAGACATGTTAGAACGATTGTAGGGTGGGGAACCTTTTCATAGATGAAGGTTGACATTGTCGATAGCTACCCTCACCACATTCATCTCAGGGCACGACTGAGGAGCCGATTCGAAAACTCTTCGCAGTACATATTTGGCTCTTATTAGACCAATCCTGGAATATGGTTATCCAGTTTATTGTTGTGCTTCTGAAACCCAACTTGAGAGGCTTGAACGGGTTCAGCTTAGTGCTGCGCGGATCATTACGGGTTTACGTAACAGCTGCCCCAGCGATATTGTCCTCTGTGAGGCTGACTTACAACCGCTCAGTTTTCGAAGAAAATCAATGCTTGTCAAATATTATAACAAACTACTCAGTTTTGATACTGGTAATCGAACGTCAGCTTTCCTTCAAAGTTGGAGAAATAACCAAAGGCTCAAGAGAAACACCCCTTTCAGTCTAGTGATCGGTGATAATTTGACTTCTGAAAATGTTGAGCCGCACTATCTGAACTCTTGTGTTGATCCAAGCGAGGGACTCCAGAGAGTGTAATTCCACCCATTTCTTCCTGTACATGTCAGCAAATCTTCTGACGTTCCTGAGTATCTGAGACAAATTGCTCTTGAATTAAACAACAGCATTCCGAGCGAGGCAACTCTTATTTATACAGATGGCAGTAGGAATGCCGATTCTTGTTCTGGCAGTGGTGTCTTCGTCAGATCCAATCACAACTCTTACCATATCAAGTTGAGAAATCCTGATCACTGCCCTGTCTTTCGCAGCGAACTGATCGCTATAGATGCTGGATTGCGCGCTGTGCTTACTTTTCCTGAATCAAATGACATCTGGATTTTGAGCGATAGTAGGAGTGCAATCCAGCACCTTTCGGATTGGCATGGGGTGGGTGACAGTGATGGAGTTTCAATTTTAAACAAGCTGAAGACCCTTTCTTTCTCCCATAATATACACTTGCAATGGATCCCATCTCATGTCGATGTTGAGGGTAATGAGATTGCAGACTCCTTGGCTAAGAGCGGAACTGATCTGCCCCTGCATTCTTCGGCATCTCTGACTTTCTCGGAGCTCCACTCCCGTTTTAACAGGCTTCGTGATCCTGTGGCCCCTCCTGTTCATCATTGGTATCAGTGCAACCGCCCAGGTGGCAGCCTGACCCTTCAGTGCAGTAGGCGGGATCAGACGGTTATATCAAGATTTCGAAGTGGTCACCTAAGAACTATGTTGTTCAGTAATGGTTCAAGAGTTTTCCCTGTTTGCACTAAGTGTAACGACCAACAAGCTACTCCGGAACATATACTTCAATGACTAAATATCTCTAAAGTGGACCTCTTTTCAGATCCACTTTTTGTTACAGACTTGCTCAGAGTCTCTGGAGTCATGAACTTGGTTTAGCTCCGCTAACCGTGTGGGCCAGCAACAACAACAACACATGGGTGACCTTCGGACGTGATGTGAACACGCCTCCCTTGACAGGAACTCCCACTTCGATCTGAACACGCCTACTCTTCGACAGATGGTTCACATTGAACAGTTGACTTGTGACATTATCCACCTCCCCGCACTGTTGCTACTCAGTCTCGATCACACACAAAGTTCAACATATTCACTCGACTGCTGATGGCAACACAGGGGCGACCACGGCCGTGAATTTAATACAGCTCTCACGATCAGCACTCAAAAGTACGGTGATCTTAATACAGCTCTCCCGGCTTCTCACAATGGTATCCGTTCATCGAATTCTAGCACAGATGTAATTCTGGTGGAAGAGTCTACCACTACTATAATACAATTCCCTAGTATAGAACGATTCTATGGTTGGGTACCTTTTCATAGTCGAGCCCTACAATGCTTCTCATAAGTGATCAATTTACTAATGGAATAGTGTTGAGGCGTAAAAAGTGAGTGATGAAATATTTACTTGGGAGGTATGTTCCATGTAGCACTCCAAAAGAACATCAGACGCTGAACTAAACTCAAAAGTTCCTTTTGTAGATCCATTCTCGACGATGTTATTTTTTTTTAAATAAACAAGTCATTTTAGATTTAAAAAAAAAAAACGATTTTTGTTGCAACGTTATCTCACTTCAGCGGCGTTTTTATCTGATAGGATTCATTTTAAAAGTATTCACATAAATAGATAACCCGTGTTAGCACTGTACAATGCGCAAAAGAAAATGCTTTGAATAAATCTAATGATTGAGTGTTCACGGACCTTACTTGAACCCTTACCAATTTGTTTAAAAAAAAATGCAAAAAATCAACCTATTTTTTTCTTTTATTTTACTAATAAATACGAGAACAAAACATAATTTGAAATTTTATGTGTAAAAAATGTACCATCAGTCCCAAAAGGTCAATGATGAGTTCACATTTTCATCATCTGATCTGTTTTACTCTATGTAAATTCATCCACCACAGAAAACAACAAATATTGGCAGATAATCATTATTTTTTGCTTTTCTTCCGACCGACGTGATCAAACAGTATAATAAATATTTGCAACATACCTGAGTAGTTAACTCGGGAAAACGCTAGAAACTCATTTCGATCACGTATAGGGTGATCCTAAAAGGCACTTTCTAACGAAGTAAGAAAATAAAGTCGAGAAACAACGTTAATTGTAGAAGAATCAGCAGCCGTAGAAGGATCACTAGTTCTATTCTTTTTCCTGCTCCGCTCGCTTCCGTGCTCTGTAATCACCGTAATATTGCGCATTTTTCCCTCTTGAACCAGTGGAAGTGCTTGTGGTTGCCTCGCCTTGGAAAATGTATTTGTATTAATAATGTATGTGAATGCGTCATAATGTAATTTCAGAAGAGAAACAATCAATTGATATTCACAAGAGACGTACCTTGACATAACCTTAAATCCGTCGCATTGTCCGTGGGATTGTTTTCACTCTTTTTTTACAATTGTTATCTACTAAGTTTGAAAATAAGAACTACTACCCTATTAAATTATATGTGTATCAAAACAAACTAGAAAAATATTTATAGAAAAACAATACTTTTATGCTAGTGAGAACCCAAACANAGTGAGAACCAAAACAATATGGAAATGAATGAGGGAAAACTGGATCCTACCACGTGATTTCCCGGCCAATAAAAATGTAGCGTTAAACGTTTAAACGCAACCTTGTTGGAAGTCGCATAAGAACTTCAAAAACAATTTTAGGTAAATCCATCCATTTCATTTAAATGTATAATATTGACTTCATAAAAAATGAGCCTCGGCTTTGGATGGATTTCTTAGCACATTCCTTATTACACGCCGCACTACGTAATTATCAGTTGATACAGCTTTATTGTTTTTTACTCAGCTGAAACCGGTTTGCACTTGTTTACGTATCAATAGGTTAAATTGCACGATTAGACGATCAATGAGACGACATAGACTAGTTATAATAATTAGATGCACTGCAGTACATACATGTGTTCGAGAGACCTATTTATTTTTAGCGTGACAATGTTAACCCATTGATACAAGTGTATCCGGGTAATAATCTAATCATATGGACTTTACGAAGGGAACCTTTTTTGAATACGCTGATCACCCGCAGTCTTGTGATCAGATATTAAAAGTCTCTTGTTCAGCAATTTATCATCCCTTGAACGAGTGGCGAATCAATTGTCTTTCGGGAATTGTATAGTGTTTGCCTTGGATTAAGTAAATGAGTAAGTTATTCTTAGAAAGATGATTTTTGGGCATTTCTTTTCAAAAATACTTCTAATGTTTTTACACTGTTTATTAACATTTCCTGCTTGAAACTTCCTTTATTAACCCCTTAACGATCGGTTAATTTTCAAGAAAACGGTCATAAAAGTGCCTATTTTTTGGCTTTTGCATTTGTATTACATATTTGATTAGTGTTGACATCTAGTTTAAAATAAGCTATCTACAATTACCTTAAAAATATCCTGGTATTGCCATCTGGTGTGTAAAATGTGAAATAAAATTTTTTCCGAGCAAAATAAATAAATTAGTTTTATTCTTATTGGCTACTGACACTCCACCCCATCAATATCACGGGAGCGAGAAATAGAGGGTGAAACCGTCATTTTCAAGGTTTAATTCAATAGAGAAAAATATGAGGTGATTCCAGGGACGTCGCAACAACCTGTTAAAGAACTAAATTTTGCTCCACCAAACTTTTTTTGATTAAAATAAAATTTTTGTACATAATCCGTTTATGATGCTTGCAAACTGAAGGCTAACTTGCTAAAATATCAAGTTTGAAAATTAGCCATCTATTTTTGTACTTAAGCCTACCATTATATTTTATTCCCTTATTTAAGAATGATAAAAAGAGGAAAACAATTCAGTATGGAATCTTGTTTAAATTGTATACTAAGCCTATATAGTTTTATTCCTTCTTAAAAATTATTACAATGTTTGGGGATAACCTGGTGGGTGGGGCCCATGTCCAAGAGTTCGATCCTCGCCTGCCGAAGATAATAAATGGTGACATACGTTACATCTGTCGAGTCCTCCATGTTCCCGTAACAACCTCTGGGGATCTGGGAGTCTTCTGGATTGGTCCAAAATGACAAGGCCACGAGCATTAGTTATCGTAAACCCAAAATTGGGTCGGTTGTTCAACGGCAGTTATAAAAAAATAAAAACGTATGAGATTATTTATCAATTAAACGGCTTTTACAGGTTACTGCTGTCATCGAAAAATAGATCATTTCTTTTTTTTTTATTATTTGAGGAGTACACAAATTTCTAAACTCAATACGTTAAATAAGGGTATGATATTTTAGTAAAGAAAAATATTTCTACGGAAAAAAAATTAAATGTGCAAACTGTTTTTTAAAGTTTATTGTATAAAATGTTATTTTAAACAAACTGGTGAATATTGTTCACCATTTGACAATCTTTTATAGTAATGGTGCGGCGCTTGGCGGTGTTTGGCTTGGGCCGTATAGGAGCCCTCCATTTAAAGAATCTACGCTGGAATCCTCGTTCGGAGATCATCTATTGCGTCGACGAATCTGTTGAGAGAATGGAATATATAAAACATCATCTGAAACTGAAGGAAACTCTATTCCTAAAACCCTCACAAGCAGATATCGTTTTTCAAGATGAAAGGTAATTTTCGATAAATATTTTCTGATTAAACATGTCTGTTTATTTTAGCGGGATTCCTCGGGGATGGCTGAAGAAAGTATAGTTTAGGCAGAAACTTTTGATCCCTTCATCATGTTTTCAATTTTTTGCCCCTTTTGAGACATTTCGCCAAACCTGGAGAACTTTTTATGCGAATTGAAAACTTTTTGCACACTAGGGTGTCTCAGTTTTCACTTTTTTGTTGAAGCGAAATGTAATACCTGTCAAAAGGGGCTGTTAATCTTCTTCAACGAACATAATTTTGTTTAAAAAGTTGAAATAGATGTATTAAGGCTTACATTCAAAGTTTAGCATTTGGAATAAACGGGCATTATAGTTCGTTCACCTGGAGTTGGGATCCACCTCCTCGGACGCAGAGTTCCTATCAGCGAGGAGAAACATCTCCGTGCTTGAAAATGAGACAACCCTTCATGCACGCCAAACGCAAACAATGAATTCTTTTTCAGTCACTTACTTCTCTTGATCATCTTCTATTATACCTTTCGCTAATTAAATATATTTTAAACTTAAAAACTGCTGTTTTCCCTGAGAAATGTCTCAAAAAAGGACAAACTATTCACTCAAAAGAGGCTATATATCATCCAATTTATGAAATATTTAATGTTAGAAAAATGCTCATAAAGATTGCGAAGTAAATATTTTTATCAGACAATTGCCAAATAGCAACTTTGTTCAGGATTGTTCACATACTTCTCCCAAAAATAGCGTTATAGTATCGTCGGATACTATGTGATGAAAACGGAGCCAAACCTATTTGTAAAAAAAAATCGACTGTTTCAAGAAGTTGGGAAAAAAATTATCAATTTATGACATACAACAGAAAGTTATTTTGATTTTTAAAAAAAGTAAAAGACCTAGTCAACGGCACTAAGTTGAACGTTTAACTGGTGGAAATATTGAATGATTATATCTCTATATTTAACTGACACCACTATTTTCGAAACCTAGCACTGTTATAAATCAAAAACTATTTGATGAAACAATGATTGTTTTTTTTTTCTTCACATTTCCAGAAAAATGACCGTTGACCCTTCCTTAAAATTTGAAATTATTTTCAAAGTCATTCAATTTCAAAATGTTTTTTTTTTCTGTCTTACAATTGAAAGAACAACATAGGAACTTCAAGGCAGATTTCGAAACAACTATTTTATTTCCATCGCTAAAATAAAGAAAAACTATGTAAAAACTCATTTATGAGAAAAACGATTTTGTTACATTATGTCGCTTATCATTATATAAAAATCTCATTTTTGTCGTTTATTTTTCTATTGTACCTAAAAGGTAAGAGAGTTAAAATTTTCCTTTCACTAAAACAAAAAAGAGAGAGAATCGACTGAATTTGTTTCTTATAGCCTTGAATCTGAAAGACAAGACCTGTTTAAGAAACCAAGGGACCTTCGAAAAGAATGTTTTTTAAGCAAATCTAATTTCCACAAAATGGAAATCACAAAAACCTGTCAAGTTTAGCCCAAAGGAGCTCTTTACTAAAGTATCATCAGCAGTGTAAAATTAACGAAGTATAACAACCCCTTGTTTATGGAAAAATTTGCCAAATGAACAATTCGGAACTTTAAGTAAGCATTTTAAAGATCTTGCTATTCTCAATAATAATCCGAAATAAAAAAGATAATTTTTTGGTAATACATATTTCTTATATTATGATGTGTTTTAATATGAACTATATATATTCTTACCATGGAAATTGATTTTTTTTGCGGCTTTTTCAGCGGAGAAAATAATTGATTTGAATATCATGAAATAGCATTACGTCAAATGACGTTCAAATTCGTTCATCTTATTTATTTTGTAAAAACATTGTTTTGCTTAATCTAATAACGTAAAGGAAGAGAAACAAACAATAATAAATAAATAAAAATTATAACTTATAGACAGTCTTTTAGTTCTTTGTATTATTTCGATAAATGTATTGTTTATTTGGCTTTTCAATCCGCACTTAAAACGAATATTCAGATGTACTGAAAAAGTTGCACAAAATAATATTAAAGCGAGTTTTCTCATGAGAAACAAATTAATTGAGTCACAAAGCATATTGTGAAATTATACTCATTTAAGAAATATATTTTTCCTTTTTTAATTGTTGATTCGAATCTCCGTTTCTACCCAGTTAACTCCCCGCAGCGTCTTAACGTTCGACACCAAGCGAGTGATTTACTAGAACTGATTGTTGACTGACAAGTCCCTTCCACTGAATTTCTTCGATTCAGCAATAGAAATGAATGTTAGATATTTCAATAAATATAAACTTTCCTTGAGAAACCTCATTTTTTTAAAATGTCTCTTACCTGGTTCTTCCACTCATTGCGAATAATATACGAAACGATAATTATGCTAATATTGTAAGTGTAGATGAGTCTAACGAAAATATTGACCCATGTAAGAAATAGGAGCTAAATCGGTAAAATGTCACAGTACTATTTTATTATTGGCCCTATAAAGGGTGTTCTTTTATTCCTCCCCAATGTTTCCATCTTTTGTTCAAAGAGAATTGCTATAGTTTGTCTAAAATAAGAACTTTTCCAAGTAGGGGTTGGGGAGAGAATGCACCATTCTTGTTTCCATAGCACCACACGGCGGTTCTTAACTTAGACACCATCAGTTATGTAATGCTTCAGCATCATGCTTTTTCCTACTCGTATCTTGATATTATTGAAGTTTGGGGTCTGTAAGGCCTTGAATGGCTGTTCACAAAATATATATTTTATTTTCTTAAGCATCGACTGCATCCTGCAATTAGTCTTGAAATCTCTCCATTCAGGTGAGTTTGTTTGTCTCTTTCAAAAAACAAATGGGGATTTCCAGTAGATCACCGAAGTGTGTATGGGATCACTTTGATCAGCCTCCGAAGGAAACGGGTCCTGCCAGTGATCAGGGCATCTTCGGGGATGTTTTCCAGCGCGACGGAAATACTCTAAGAAATTAAATTATAATAATTTAGTTTTGAGCTACTCTACGAAGTCATTTAAGATCATTTTTAAACAAGCTAACCTTTCCCTTAACACTAGATTGCCAAAGGAAGTCATTTTGACTGCTTTTTCATTTCAGTTAGAAAAACAATCATGACACAATTTCTTAGATTTTTGTACAACATATAATTTTTTTTATTGTTAATATTTACTAATAACTTGTTATATAACTGTAAATAATATAAAAAAATATTAAAAATTAATTTTTAACAAATTTTTTTTAGACATTATTTATTCTTTCACACTGCAGTCATTTTGACTGTTTTTGGGCGCTATAGGTATATACTAAGCTTCAGTCTTTTTAGTGTTAACCGCTACCCTTACCGAACAAAAAAAAATCAACATCTTTTTTTTAAATTTCATTTATAAATACGAGGAACTAAAATAAAACATAATGAGTTCCCTAGAAGAATAGGAAACTCATTGGTGTACCGTTATCGTATCGTTATTCCTTAAAATTTAAACATCGCGTTGTGTATTTCCTTCCTAACCTAAATTAATTATCCCCCAATTCTCCAACATGGGATACCTTACCTGTCTATCTGTAAAGTAAAAAATTAACACCCGCATCATACAGCAGGAAAACAAATACAGTTTAAGGTATTAAATTAAATAAAAGGTTTTATTCAATTAATTAAATAAGGATTAAGTCCTTAAGGGACTTAATTAAAAAATACGAAAAATAACACATTTAGAATAAATATGAAAAAAAGCTGTCCGATTGGACTGGCATCCCACAGGAAAAATGCACATCATCGATTACCACGGGTACTCCACACTAACATTACTGATACATTATCCTTTTCTTGTATCACATACATTTTCTTTTAGCCATCAGGTTTGGTAGATGAAATACTACCACTATAATGCCAGCCCACGTGTGTTTTTCTATCCGCCCGCTAACTCATGGTGCACACATTCTGGATATAGTCTTCAAGCACATAACAAGAAATATGCCTTACAATAGGGCAACTGATTTCACAACTCTTAAAAGAGTTCATCAACTCCTGTTCTCTCTACCATTGGGATAATCAACATTCTAACAGGAGCTTTACAACCACCTCCTCATCTCGTGAACATCAACAGAATCTCTCAAAAACATCAATTTTCATCATCTCACACAGTGGGTTGCCACCATACAGTACATGTGTATAATTTAAATTTGCAATCAAAAAGTGAAATATATAAAATTAAAGGCATACATAATACTTATTCTTAGTTAAAATTATAATATTGAACAATAAAACTTAATTATTACATTTATATAAAAATATTAAAAGTTTAGAAAAAAGGTTTATTTTTACTGTCATTAGTATAAATTTTTAAGTCTCATGCTGCCACCTATTGGCACAAAGATTAAAAAAACTGTAAAGGAACTTTATCAGTACATTGGAACATTCTCAGCGGAGAACTTTTTGACGGAACACATTTGCGTTACTCGGAGAGCTGAAACCTCCCACAGCTCCCCTAAAGGTAAATGTTTTCTCCTACATTATCCGTCTACCACGTGGAATATTTTTTACGTCAACACTCTGGTCGATGAAAGCTGGAAGAAGAATTAGTATCGCTGGTATTCAAATCACCTCATTGTGAGGCTCTAAGCCATCAGTATTATAGAATGTGTTTTTGGAAACTGACGCTACTAACCGCAAAAGTTAAAAATCACAATTTGAATAATTGCACAAAAGTTAAAAATCACAACTGGCTGTTGATACTACTCATTATTAACTGTTAACTTTGCAAAACATAGCCAACAGAAAAGTATGTTATCGTAAATTTTCATGGCTAGATTTGTTTTTAATAAAATTTTTTGAAATTTTCGTTTGTTGCAAGATATTTCGCATGAGAACACGTTCACCGTACTCCTGGGGGTACGCGTACCACACTTTGGGGGACACTGTACTAATATAATGCTTGATATAATATATCGTCTCGTTTAATCCATTGATACAGGAACAGGTGCAAACCGGTTTCAGTCGCGTCAAGACAATAAAGTATCACCTGTTTACGTAGAGTGCGTCTAATAGTATGGCCAGGCACAGAACACAGAAGATCCTGTCCAGGGTCAGCTCTTTACAGCAGACGAAAATCCCATTGACCTCCCCATCCAAAAAATATGGTCTTCATAAAATAAATTTCTTAATGGTCGCAATAAAAATCAACTGGTCTTAGCGAAAATAAATTTTTGGAATAAGCTAAATGAATACCAAAAGGGTTAAAATCATAATAATGTTTCAATAGGTAAAGTTGTGTTTTGTGAGAAACCTTTGGCTACAAGTGAAGAAGGCATAAGGAGATGTTTGGAAGCAGCGAAAAAATCATCTCTGCCAATATTATGTGGGTTCAACAGGTAATATGTTTTATTCCGAGCTTCATGAGATCAAAAAACACTTATAGGTGCACCTCCTATTTTGTCTCTTGTGTTGGGACAAGAAGTTGGTAAAGCTAAAAAATGAGTCAACACGCAAAAATAATATGTTTCTTTTCAATTCAGTGTAAAAACCTCATTTGTCTAGATTTCTCTCCTACTCTGAATTCACATAGTGAATCTATGGAATAAATAAAAATTATTTTCAGTTTCATAATAGACCTTCACAATGGAAGTAAGCTAATTTTAGAAGAAGTTTCCTAATAGATATCCAAGAGTTAGATTACAACCGGTGGCTGTCGATAACAAAGGAGTTTCTTCTGGATTCAAAATGACGTGAGTAGTCGTAATTGGGTTCGTATGTAAAATATAAAATAAAATAGAGATCAGACGTTTATTAAGTCTCATGATAAAATTTTCATAAACTTTTTTATTACCTTTAACGAAAAGTTTGGTTCAATTAGGAAACTAGTCACTCATTAAGGAAATTAGTCTCTTGTCCAACACAACAGCTGACCGACACCCTGTCAGAGAATTAAGAAGTACGATCGCCTCTAACAGCTATACTCTCGTATCAACATTTCATACTGTTTAAACAGGGTCCTTATCAGTCACTGAGCCCTGTGCATCCATAAAGATGCATTTTGGTCCACGTGCTCTACCGAAAAATCTCACATAGAGTGCAAAGATCTCGCAAATGTTCTGTGACCAGTCAGTGTGCTTCTATTAATTGCTGGGCAGGCATCATGCCCAGAACATCTAAAGACAGAGAGGTCATTTTCAACACTATACGACTCCCGAACACTCTCCAGATGAGAACAAGTCGCGATTTGCCGTCCACACGGACTCACTAAAAAGAGCCTGCCCCCAATCATCCTTTGATCAAGACAAGTGTTCTCAGCACCTGCAAGAACGTTCTTATTGTGGTTACAATTAAAGAAATGCAGACTAAGGCCACCTGCCTTAAGTCTCTGAGAGACTGTTATCCATAAAATAGATGTTTCTGTTACATTATACAAGTCGCGAGACGATGTCACGGACCTTTTGACTGGAAGTCTCAAATAACGGACCAGATCAGCTGTCTACTGTCTCTGTGTCCACATAGTAAACATCACACACTCTGAAGTCCT